GAGTTCCTTTAGTGTTGCATACATAACAATAATAATTAAAGGAAAGATCATGAATTTGAGAGGGAGTTATGGGAGGGAACATGGGAGGAGTTGGAATGGAAAGGGTGGCGTTGAAATGATGTAAGGACAGTACTTGCAACAAAGTAAAAAAAAAAAAAAACTACATTAAAAAAGTAGAGACTTTCAAACTATCTAGATGCATATATTCCCTATTATATTGTAATGTGGTAGAGTTAGGTCAAAGTCTCATGTGAGATACACAAAGGGTGCAGGCAACATCAGTGAGGGAACCCAGTAACTAAAGGCCCTTACTACAAAGCAAGATGAGTTGAGTTCCACGCCCAGGAAGGACATAGTGAAAGGAGAGAACCAACCTTTACAAGTTTTCCTCTGACCTCTTTATGAACATATGTGTTCCTCCCCTGCCACCAAAAACACACACACACACACACACACACACACACACACACACACACACTCACCAACACACACACACACACCAATGAATATAATGAAAGAAACACAGGGGGCATTTTATGCTAGGACATCTAGAGTTCTTTAACTCAGATTCATTTGCTTTATGGGTAACACTAGATTAAAACAAAGTTCCTGGGAATCAGAGCTAGAAAGGGTAGTTCATATTAACTCCTCTACTACAAATTACTACATGAATAGATATGTGAATATCAATGTAGAATTTTCTTTTCTTCATAAACTCTGCCTTCTTCCATTCCTCAAAATTACAGGCAAAACTCCCACCTAACTAAATGTGTTTTTTATAATTGAACTTTCAGGTAGATATATTTTATTTTTAATTAAAATATAGTTACATCACTTCTTCCCTCCCATTTGTCTTTCCAAACCCTCTTATGTACCCCCAATCCTTCTAAAACTCATATATAGCCTCTTATTCTTTATGTATCAGTGTTTATATACATATACACATAAATGAATAAATACAATTCATTGAGTGTATTTAGTATTGCTTATGTATGATTTTAGGACTGACCATTTGGTATTTGATAACCAGTTGAGGACTAATCTCTAGGAAAGACTTATTGTCCCTCCATTAGCGTATTTTAAGTGTCTGTAGTGCTTTGTTTAGGATTGGTGCACTTTAAGATTTGCACTTTGTATGTTGTCATATCAACTAGTTTTGTCACTGTTCAAGTCTTGTTTCAGCAATGATACCAAGATTTCATGAGTGCCACTTCCTTGGACATTTTCATTCATCTTGTCCTCTGTGTCAAGTACATCAGCAAACTACACAAAGACAATAAAACCAATGGTGTGCTTGTGCTAACACACTGAAAAAGATGTCTGAGGCAGAAAAGTGCAGGCTTTACACAGGCATTCCAGATTTGGTGTTTATCTTTTCCTATCCTAAAAATAAGCAATGAAGTCCAGAGAGATAAAGTGATAGCCAGTGTGCCCTGATTATGATGCTTATTCTAGTATGAAAGAACTTGGGGGAAGCAATGTAACAGTACTCAGAACTATTCACTATTTTAAGGACATGGAAAAGTATTCAAAATACTAAAAGATAGAAAAATATTAAAAAGGTTTGATCTATTAAGTTTAGAATAGATACATAGATACAAAGTATAATTTTGTGAGTCATATTACCTTTTTGTTTTGTGTTTTTTTTTTTTGAGACAGGGTTTCTCTGTGTAGTTTTGAAGCCTATCCTGCCACTCGCTCTGGAGACCAGGCTGGCCTGGAACTCAGGCAGGGAGATCTGCCTGCCTCTGCCTCCCAAGTGCTGGGATTAAAGGCGTGTGCCACCAACGCCTGGGCTCATATGACCTTTTATAAGAAATAACACACACACACACACACACACACACACACACACACACACACACACACACACACATAACATTATCCATTAAATGCTTCATGCTTAGAAGATTTCCAGTTTAGGACCTACAAAAGCTGAGGTATAATGTCAGACACAGTAGTAATTACCAGTATGACTGGTAATACTAGAACATGGGAGTTCCAGCAGCACTGCTATTTGGTGGAACAGTCAGGGTTACATAAAATGATTCAGTCTCAAAGCAAAAACAAAAATACTGAGGTAAACCCAGACTTTCTGACTGTATCATGAAGGATATTCTCAATTTCCTCCACAATGCATGATGGCTTCTTCCAATTGATATATGCGGTGGTTTAATAGATATTGGTCTGTAGAAACCAATGACAGTCTCATCTTAAAAACATAAAACTGTTGCTTGGGGGAGCATATTATTGTTGCGTTTATATGATATTATTGACTGATATTGACTGTGCTAAGGATTGAATCCCCATCAGAATCTGATTTGAATTTTAATTAGCATCACAGAAGAGTTTACTGTAAAAAGCAAAATTCTGAAACTCATCCATGCTTAGAGCATTGTCCTTTTTCTCTCCCTTGCTTCTCTTAGGTCACAACTATGGAAGCCTGTTCATAGTACCTTGAGGAACTTTTACTTGAGGTCCCATATATTAGCAAATGCTTGAGAGATCCCCTAAGCATTACATGAGTGAAGATAACCACAAACTTGTCATAAGCCAATTAGTTTCCTTCCTAAACTCAAACATGTGCATACTTTTTCCAAAAGTTTGCAAATCACACAGCATCTCTCTCATCTATGTTGTCTTCCCTTGTTTACGGAAAGTCAGTATTTCCCATCAAGCTTCTCAGATCCTGATTAAGTGGATGTTGGAAACACATTTCTGGAAATCTTATAAATTATTAACTCAACCAGAAATGTTGTGCTTGCCCTGCTTTCCCAGCTAAAACCAATGTTTTACATGAAATTGCATTCTTAACAAGGTCTGATGTGCTACAGACCAAGAAACAGGACATGTGCTACATGTTTGCATAACAAGAACAAGATGTCCCCTGACAATGAGCAAGTTCCTGCTTTGTATGCTTTGTGCTCTGTGCCATCATTACTGTTATCCCTTTAAAAATAACCTGTATTTTCAGTACTAACTGGTGAAGGTTTAGAAGATCGTAATATAAACTTGGGCAATTTTCTGTAGTCATAAATTTTATAAATTATCCTTCATTATCAAATTTCACTGACTGTTAAAATGAATGTCCAAATATCTGTTATTTTTACAATTGAATCAAAAATTTCATAGCTTCAATCAGTTTCACAATTGGTATATTCTATTCTATAAATACTAAATATAGTTAATAATATAATTTTGGAGCTTTGGAACTCCTTATAGAAACCTGTACTAAGGAGTATAAATATAGAAAGGAAATTGTCATTTTCAATATTTCCTTTCCATAAACAAACATAACAATATTTTAAACTATTATAAATTTTGCAATGTACATTAATGAATTTAAACTCAATTATTTTAAACAAAGACATTAAGTTCTTTAGCAGACCAAAAGGTTGGATGTTGTATCCCATATTTAGTTGTAAAATTTTAACAGAACCCAGTTGCATATGTTGGAAAATGTCAGCCAGTGAAAGTATATACTCTTTTCTACTGTTGTTGAAATGACAATTTACCATAAGATTTTTGTTTACATGCTATATTCTGAACAAGTGAGATTTTGCTACTAGACATGGCTGCTACTGAATCCTGAATCCATAAAGAGTTCCTCCCTGGTCAGTGCAGACCAAATCCTTACTGAATTTAAAAAAAAAAATGATTAACTGAATACGAATTAAATATGCAAGGGTGGTAAATTCTGGATATAGCATTGTTCTGTATTATTTTATTCAAGTATTTACCCAAAAATAATCGATGAAGATACATTTTCTGCCTAATTACGCAGTTATTATCTTAACAGATGGGGACAAAACTTTATATTTGCCACCGAAGGCAAATGATATTCCAGGAGAACCAGCAACAACAACAACAAAAAATAGTCTCTGTTGATTCTCTTTGAAATTTATTATTTCAGAGGGGGCATAGGAAGTCCTAAGCAAGTGAATCTCTGAGTGAGTGAATATATATTTTGATATGGGCTTGACCATGACAAGAACTCCTGAGACGTAAAGCAATGGGATGACTGGCTAAGCTAACATGACACAGGTTCAAGAGAGGCTGCAAATCTCTTATTGGAAGTAGGAGTGTGAGATTATTAGTGTTAATGGAAGATTTGTCATGCATGCAGAGATATGATTTCCTGCTTTGAAATCTTTAGAGCCTGAGATGGCTCACCTACAGAGACCTCTTACAGAGGCTAGCTAACTCATCGCCCTGTGCTGTACATAAAAACTATGCTAAGGGAGTTGAAGTGCTAGATTGGTACCTGGCAGAGAACCTTACTTATTCCAAGCTTTATTGTATGTTTATCTGTGTTAACGTCATTCCCTCTGACCCTAGCATAGTTTGGGGACTCAGGTTGTGTAGGTTGCAGCATTATCTATTATTATTATTATTATTATTATTATTATATGTGTATGGGGTTTTACATGCATTTATATCTGTGTACCACCTAGTGTCTGATAACTATGGAGCCTTGAAGAAGAGGACGTTACATCTCCTGACCTGGAGTTACAGGTGGTTGTTAGCCACCATGTGGGTGCTGGTACTCAAACCTAGATCCTGAAGAGCAAGCACCCAGTATTCTTAACTGCTGATCGATTTCTCCAGCTTCTGCTGTTTCTATTAACCATCACAGTGAGAAGACACACACACACACACACACACACACACACACACACACACACACACACACACACACACCACTCAGGTTCATGTATCTAGAAACACCCATGCATTTGTCTATAGCCATACTTATGCATCACACAAGTAACTGATGAGGAAATACTACCCTTAAAAATAAAATTTTTCCAAGCAGTGGTGGCACATGCCTTTAATTTGGAAGGCAGAGGCAGGCAGATCTCTGTGAGTTTAAAATCAGCCTGATTCAGAGTGAGTTCCAGCAGAGCCAGAGATACACAGAGAAACCGTCTCATTATCTATATCTATATCTATATCTATATCTATCTGTCTGTCTGTCTATCTATGCTCTTCCTTATTAGGTTTTTCAAGGCAATTTTGACAATGACACTCACAGGAAGAATGTCATCGACCCTCCCATTTATGCACGACACATAAGAATCCTTCCTTGGTCCTGGTATGGAAGGATCACTCTGCGATCAGAGCTGCTGGGCTGCACAGAGGAAGAATGAAAGGACTTCACATCCCACAATGCTTTTCCTTATTCCCTGCAAGTATCTCCATGCAATGAACTGTGCAAAATCTGATGGAAATGGAATGGGTTTTCTTTTTCTCCTGAAAGAGTTTTCAAATTTATAGTAGGCTACTAACTATCTTTTAAGAAGTTCTAAGCCTGCCTTTTCAATAACTTAATTTTGTTTTTATCTCACAACTTTCTTAAATACATCACAACTATCTGTGAATTATTGTCCTTGTTTGCTGAACTATATACATTGGTCGAAGTATAGTAGGCAAAGTAAGTCTCCCTTTTACAGCAAAAGTAAAGAAACCAGTCATCATCAGATGAAAGAGTTAAGATAGATATTATGATTATTGTTCAACCAACACTTATAAGAAGTCCAATTTCAGCAATAAGTTTTTTTCTGTAATGAATTGGATTATCTTAATTGTTTCCCTGTGCCTAACACTGTTAGTGTTTATTACAGAGATTTGGAGATTAATATATGATATGCAGTACCAATCAATATGACAAGTCTATTTTTATTTTCTTTACTTCTAACAAAAACTAAGTTCTTTATGTTCAAGTTTATATTATTTATTTGTGGCATAAATAGGCTATTATATTTTCTCATTGAATTTTCTCCCTTTATTTACCTGAAAGTATTGTTTATTCCCATCCGTAGAACATCTACTAATATACATTGAACATGACTGCATATTAGTAAATTGTTCTATGTTTAATATAAGTATATTGAACCTGAATTTTTATTTTTGAAGGAAGTTCTATCTCATTTCCCAAGCTTTCCTTCTTTGAGAATCCCTTATCATTTAGTGAAAAAGAACAATAAAAATATCACAGCCCTGGAATTTAAATCTCATTTCTTTGAAATAACAGAATCAGTCTCTGTGTATTTAAGACATTAGCAAATGTATGTTAGCCTAATGCTGCACAGCTTGGACAAGTGTACTGGACAGTGCTTTGCAGATTTCCACATTTCCTACGAAATGAAAATTTCAATGCTGTTTGAAACCAGGGGTGGTTTTTCAAGAAAGCACATTGAATAATTATTGTGAGAAGCAATGTATTTACTAATGACAAAGTTATAAACCATTTTTAAGATGAAAATTGATTTCTATTTCTTTTGCTTCAAATGTCCTAGAAAAATAAGCAATTATCATAATAATTTGTTATTGATAATGGCAGCATCATTGACATATGTCTCAAATTAAAGCTCACACTGCCTCCATAAATGTCCTCCAGACCTAATTTAAAAGCTTTACAAGTATTTATTTTATAAGGCCTAGACACACAATTATTGGCATTTTAAATTGAAGGTTCAGGAACAGAAGGTATGGTATGTGTATGAAATGCTAAAGCTCTGAAAACACTGCTATATTTTACTTTATTTTTCCTTTAATATGTGTGCTGCATAAGGAAAGCACTATTATTATGTCCTGTCCATCCATGTGTTCACAGCATTTCGAAATGATGTAATTATGGGGTGGTCATCAATCATAGTGAAGAATTGAAAGAGAAAGTCAGTCCAGTTCCATTCTAAATTACAGCAAATTCATTGCTCTATGGTGGCCATCAAGGCCCATGTTCGCCTCAGGCCCACATTCTCACTGCTTCAGGTTAGTTAAAAACCTGTTGATTTTCAGTATGTAAAATGCTGAATAGTTTTGAACATTTTCCCAAAACAAAAGTGCTGAGTCCTCAACACTGTTGTCCTAGATAATGTTTAAAGTTATCAAACAGAATGTTTTAATAGTATTTTAAACTAAAATAGCATTATATAGAATTACTTAGGTCCTAAAAGTGCAACACTTACTGACTAGCCCATGGTCCTTGTTTCTTTCATGGATAACGGGACTACTAAGTCAGTAGGTATTTTTCTTTGCAGATTCTTCAATACTAAATTCTAAAAATTATAAATAATATTTTGTGTTAAAATACTTTTTCAAAACTATTCTTGGCTCCATGTGATATTTTGAATTTTGTTCTATTGACACCTGCTTAAAATTTGTTTTCCGAAGGAGTTATTAATGGTATTTATTACTGTTTAGAAAGTCGGTGGAAGGTTTTCTCTTGCTTGTGCACATTCTCTCTTCTCTATTTGCTGTTCACCACATAGAATGCCCAGTGGATATGCATTTTTCTTCAAGGGATGCTTCCACAGAAAATAGTGACAAGTACTGGGAAGTAGCTTTCATGTCGGTTGTATCCAAGGCTTCAAGCTAAAACATGGTGTTATTTAATTTACAAGCAAAATCTTACAAACACAGAAGAATTACCCAGTCTTCACTAGGCTATCTAATTACATGAGCTAATTTTATGATTTAGGAAATTATGAATTAATTAACTTTTAACATATCCATTTCATGTATATTCCACTGTAATCATCTATGACAGACACTAATCCCTACTGTAGGACTGACTTTCTCTTTGTGAATGTCTTCATAAAGATAGGTATGAATTTTGAAGACCAGGTATTAATGGTTGTATCTTTGCTAGTAAACAGATTTAGAAATATAACATTGAATGCTGGCATCTGGTGTGTCTGCAAGGACAGAAAACTAAGATACACATACTTTTGCAAACTTTCAAGCTGTGTAATATTCCAATGTTTTTTTTTTCTTTGTAGATATACTTAAATCATGTAGGATGTTGTAAAATCAGTATGATCCTGTCTAGTCGTCAAACTTAAAATAAACTTTTGAAAATCTGTGTTACTTTTGAAGTGGTCGTAATTAAACCTGTTTCTAAGAATACACAGACATGTGGATGAACACTAACCTTGGCAACATACTTACCTTAATTTTTATTTATACATATCATAAAAATAGGCAAATCAAAATATAGAGACTATAAATGCTTTCAAACATAAGACTGCAAAAACATTTTATCCCAGATTATAAAAATATGTAAATTTCTCCATACTTTTATTTGTATAAAATTTGCAAAGATTAACAATCCAATCATTTCTCCTCATGTATATGTAGAGTAGTGTAGTACAAAACTAGCAAATCTATTGTTATTCATATTATATTTTTACTACTGATATTAGTTTTTCAGTTAATGATGCTCAGGAATATATTGAAGGAAGCCCATAAGCAATAATAGTGTACATTTCCCTCTAACTCCAGTTATTGTCTAATAGACATATGAACATATGATTTTTTATAAACAGTCTTTTTGTCTCTGTAGAATTCACCAGTAAAAGAAGCACGTGTAATTCCTACACTTTAATAATTTATAGGATTAAAAAAAATTAAAGTAAAACTTAAGATATTAAGTTTAAGACCCCGTGTCTGTGGGTCTCTGATAGAGCAAGTTTTATGAATCTGTGGTCCTACATGCTCCTATTTAATTCCATTTTAATATGAATGGTTCAGTGGTGTTCCAATTTTGCCTAAATTTTGGCATACATAAGCATACATAAGTGTACTTTTATTGAGTAAAAACAATTATGAAAACATTCTCAATAAGCTTGATAGTGAATGATGAAAACAATGATATGGGGTAAATTTTGATTATGATAGCAGATTGTTGAAAGGAAAATCTCCAACCAGGAGGCTTTTAGAGTGCAGCAGCTTCAAAATGCAAAAGTAAAAGGAACACTTCGAATTCCAGGAGAAAAGCCTCCTGAGGAGGAAACTTCTCAGAGAATGTGGGGAATAATAGCATGAATCCATACAACCTGAAAAAAACAGTATCTACAATTTCAGTTTTGAGTTTGTTTTGGATGCTTGGCTCTAAATAAAGATTTATTTTTAATTCAAGTAAAAAGGTAAAAACGTTACCGTACAGAATGCAATGCTTTCTCTTTTACCAATATTAGCTTTTACAAGATTAATGATTATGGCAATTCTTTGCTTATTTGTGAAAATACTGCTTTTGAGATGCAAAAGGGTCATTTGACTGAAGGGAAAGAGAAGGATTAAAGCATTTTGCCAGTGGAAAATGTCTCAACTACTCTGAAACAAAATGCACTGCCACATTAGTCTTTACAGAGTCGGGAATGCCTAGAGTAAGTAGCAATTTCTCTATTGATTTGAAGGAGAAAATAAGATGTTTTTTATTCTCTTTTAGTAGCCACCTATAATTCATACTGGGCATTTCAGTACTGCTGCCAAGGAAAGTGTTTTCCACAGTAAGCAAGCCACACTTACTCAAAGAGCTATTTCTATTAGTTGAATTTGGTAGCAGGAAAGAGGGAACAGTTTTGGAAAAGGCAACTCGTTTATTTTTTTCATAACTTTCAGAAGTTGACTGCATCATTTAATAATAATATTTCTATGGATAGATGGTCTAGTCACATCCACAAATGGTCAGAGCATCTCACCGTTAAGCATGGCATATACTGATTGCCTCTGATAGATTTGTACTTTAATGTTCTTAAAGATATGAGTCATATTCTTCCATGTTTATATAAAACTCCATCACAGCCTTCATCTGCCTACATGTCAGTATGTTAGTAACGATGATGGATTACAAGGTAAGCTCAACCCACTGCCATCTGTGTGGGAGCAGCAGCAGGGAGACTGGTGGTGCGTTCAAACAATGCCTTCCCTGTAGCCAGAAAGGAAACTGATTCTGCAGATCACATAAGCACAGTGGCTGAGAATCTACAGGAAGATGAGTGGAGTAGACTTTGTGCATCTGATAAAAAGAACAACAATGATTTAAGTGAAAGTCACACCAACTGACAGACTCCCCCAGATTTACAAATCTCATAGTTGTCCATTCTTTGTGATTTAAGAAAGGTTAAAAGGACAAACCAAATAAAATTTAAAAGCATTTCCTTTCAGCAAGAAAGGTCTACAGACCAGTGAATCTGACCAACTGGATTGCCACTGTGCTTTTAGAAGTCAAAGAATTTTCTGCCTGGTCCTGAGGAGAGGAGTTATGAAACTAAATGGACGGATTAAAGGTAGCAAACCACAGAGGCAGCAGTAAATATGCTTTGATTGCTTGCTTTAGAGGTTTTTTTTTTTTTAACTTAGATAT